GTCACTTTCTGATCAAATATATTTTACTCTTGTGTGGCTCTCAGGTACTTCATCCACCACTGTTCTAATCATATTATAATTAATAATGTATAATTATACATCATAATACATTTCAGGAACTGTCAGGCAGAAGAGAGACATTTATATTTTACGCTTTAGCCAGTTTAAATGACAGGAAATCTCATCATTAATGCTCTTAACTGGTACATATATTTGCATAACCTCTTTAGAAAAAAAACGGCCTAACATGACTCGATCTACTCCTGATGATGCTGAAGCCTGTATCTGATTCTGTGAGCCACCGTATCCACTAATAGTTTCTCGTCTCTCCCCACCATCTCATCACTCATGAGGGGATTTTTTAAAACCATCGTAATTACAGGTTTATTCCAAAAGGTCAAAGATAAAATCAGTTACACATTATATTTTTCGCTAACATTACAAAATGTTCTTTAAAAGAATCTGATCGTATCACTTGTCTTCTTACATTTGAATTAAAGGCCACCATTGCACTGTGACTCCATTAGTGCTCCCTATTACACTGCAGACACTAGATACTTAAATAATAAATCTGACTTTTCTTATCAGACGTTTTCTGATGCATTACTGCATTCTTCAGACTAAAGGCAACACAAAGTGGTTACATTATTGTGACTTCAGGGTGTCCCCATGGCAGTTATCCTTGGCTCAAATATCAGAGTCTGCACGTCCTACGCTGGAATGTGGTTCTAAAGGCTCCCACATCCTCGAGCATCCTGGAATGTTGGGAATGAAATGAGTATTTGAGCCAGGAGGAATAAAGATATTTGTAGGGATCTGTAGGGAGGTGCAAGGACTAGTTTGAAAAATAAATCCTATGTAGGTTGTACAAGTGTTAACACATGTACAAGCATAACATCCTTAAATGGTGACAAGCTGCAGGACACGCAGTGCCCTTTGGATGTGATGTCAAAAAACGCTATAAATGTAAGTTGATGGTAAAAGGGACATTGCCCTTTTTGTTCCCGATGCTCAGGTGTTCCTGGCAAATTGAACAACGTTTACAAGAGAACATTTAGTCGACAGATGTAAAGCAAGGGGATTGGTCAAAACATCTAGAGATACATCTGTGCTTTATCTCAAGGCTTTACAAAGACGCACAAGCTGTGAACACCAACAGGAGAAACATTAAAGTGATACAGAGCAATGTGAGAGATGTTTATGTAAAGAGCATCCAGAGAGGGGATGTTAGGGATTATGTTGTTTAGTATTATGAGTAGTTTTTCACATACAAGGAATTCGCTTTGGTAAACCGGCACATAACAATAAACATATACAAATGTAAAAAAAAAAACAATATGTACAATATGACCATTATTTAAATAACTGTTGTTGTTGTTGTTGTTGTTGTTGTTGTTGTTATAAGAGAAATAAGCATACGAATGAAGAAGCAGCAGTAGTATACTTATTCTTTGGAGAAAATAATCTCAGATCAAGGTCTACTTACTCACTCGGGTCTTATGATTTTCACTGTATCACAGGGTCTTCATCAGCAGATTGAATTTGCTCTGTTGTGGAACTTTTCTTACATCAGAATCAGAATCAGAATCAGAAACACTTTATTAATGTGTAAATAAAAATGTATGTATAGGTATAAACATATAGTAAAAAGTAGAAATAAACATGGAATGGAACTAGATATATACAATAAGAGCCTAAGAGTAGTCTACAGTAGGCTTTCTCCCACATGTTGGTGCTTTCTACAGTGTGAACCAGCCAACATCCAGCTACTGCTTCTAAAGCTGGACAAGGTTGCTCCCTGGTGGCTGTATATGTCGCCTGTCCTACTGCAGGTCGACCTTTATTCACCTTCATACATTTCTTTACAGATAGCAAAGTAAAGAGACTTCAAACAGACGACACTAAGCACACTCAGAATACAAGTCAAGTGAAGTAAACGATGCTATGCTAACGCTAGCATTTAAAAAAGGATTTTCTAGCAACACACGGGGACGTCACCAGCGTCCGTTGTCAAGGCGACAAGTAGCTACACGAATCTTCTGAGATGAGTGAAAAAGTGAGAGCAACCACTCCGATTATTATCCCTGGTACCCGGAACAAAACCCGTCCACACCTGTCGCTGATTGGCCTGTAAACGCGTACAAACCTGCTTGTTTGTGAACCGGAGCGACTCCTCTTGAGTACTAACAACATCCAAAGACAGCGTAAACATGGCAGGAGGAGAGAAATGCGAGTTTGAGTTAACTTTTTCTTTTACTCCTCTTCCCTCCAAGAAACAGCTGTTCCTACAGGACAAAGACGTGTTAGCACTGTTCATGAAATGGTACGTGACTTAACAAATGTAGCTAACCTGAAAACTTGATTATTTTTATAGGTTAATGTTACTTATCTTCCTCTGTTAGATTGGGTGTTGGTTATTTTACTTGTGTGTGTGTGTGTGTGTGTGTGTGTGTGTGTGTGTGTGTGTGTACTTACATGTATATATATGAGTAAGGATGTATGCATATATTATTTTATATAAATATGCAATGGACATTGATGTAAACAAACAATGGTAGGAAGAAATGATGAATGAAACAAGTGTTGGTGAGCTCCTTGTTTAATGGATGTGTGTTTTATTTCAGGTCCATGCTGGGGAGGATTTCAGCTGAGTCGTACAGCTTTGACCAGACCTTTTACCCTTACAACAGTGAAAAGTTTGCACAGGTTACAGTCTGATATTACAGTGAATAACCACTGACTGAAAGTGATGGGTTTTACCTTTTTTCCCTCATACCTGAAACAGATGTAGTTATAGCTCATCAGTCTCCTGAGAAACAACAATTACTGGTTGTCTGTTTTAATAAATATTACTCATGCGTTACATCACATTTGAATGCTCTTGATGTCGCTCTGTGCACGCAGTGTTTCTTCAGAGATCCTGATGTGGTATCCAGTCTGTCCAGGAAGATGAAGGCCGCAGCCCGGGTGCCTCTTGGTATGTCATGTCCCCCAGAAAGCCTTTTCATCACTGATAGGAGGAGGAAATTGATCTCATCTGCTGGACAATATTTGCAGTAACATTTCTGTGGAATGTTTTTGACTGTGTGTGTGTGTGTGTGTGTGTGTGTGTGTGTGTGTGTGTGTGTGTGTGTGTGTGTGTTTGTGTGTGTGTTGTAGACAAGCCAGTGGTGTCTGTTGACGTGGAGCCGGTGCCGTGCACGAAGGTCTCCATGGAGTTGTTTGACCCAATCTACTCTTGTGGAATCCTGAGGCCCTCTGGACATATAGTTAAATGCTTTCATGATGTCTACCCCGACTATGATGAACTCAGACAGGTCACTCTCTCTTTTCTCATCCACCTGTCTGTCTGTCTGTCTGTCTGTCTGTCTGTCTGTCCGTATCTTTTTTGACATGGAGTCAGTGCAAGTCTTTTTCTGTTCCCCCAGATGTTGCAGGATGAGGACTCCGAGCACTACTACGTGGTTGGGAGAGAGGAGCGAGGAGAGTTTATATTTCGCCTCTTCAAGCACCTGTGTTTTGGAGGAGAGCTCTGTCAGTACGAAGACACTATTGATCCTTACATCAGCGCCACCAAGCAAATCTACAAAGACCTTATAAGGTGGGATGAACCTGACCATGTTTGAATCCATACTGCCCCACAATATGAACACTGTAAACAACTATTGATCAGGTTCATTATTAGAAACTTAATGATCTAATAATGACATTGTATTTCTACCCTTTAGTGTACAGAAGGATCCAGAGACTAAGAAGATCAGTGTTGTCTCCACAGTCCTCAAAGTCTGTGCCTACGTAAGTGAGTGTGTGTTGTATGTTTACCATTGCGTGTATGTTTCAACGAGAGGAAACATTTTATAACATCTTTAATTGGCTTGATGATTCAAAGCCATTGTCAGATATACAGTATACAATATATACAATTTGATAATACAGTTAATGTAAACGATTAATCAACATATAATGTTTAACTATTTGATTTGAAACTGATTTGTTTAATTTGTAAGGTTTAACAGTGTGGAACGACCACACTATTAGGAATCATTTAGTAGAGATCGATAAACTGTCAAGAATTACATTATTAACAGTGGAAAAAGTGGCAGTTTGTACATTTCATGTTTGTCCTCTACTTAAACAACAGGTTTTACTCGCATTTCCCCCATAATTTACACACTGTATTATTTATCCTCTGCAGGATGAGTCTGGGCGATGTTACCCCGGGAGACGAGAGGAGGAGCAGACGTTTGCCTATTTAATTATCGACCCCTTCAAACGACATGTGACTTTGTTCTACCACTGCTACGGTGTAGGAAACTTCACATTGTGAATCAGTGTGATCAGACGTAAAGACTGACGTCACTCTGCAGTCAGTTAGCTTTCCTATTTTACTGTTGTGAGAAATTTGATTAAAATCCTTCAAATGAAGAACACACCAGAAAGAAGTCACATTGCACACAATGAATTCCCAGTTTGAGTTACAAAGAAGATGGAATAACTGTTTTGTTCTATTAATGTATGTCAATAAAATGTTGTTTGTTCTCAGATTGTCTACTTATAATAATTTGATCATTCTGTTCTAGTTAAATGTTAGTAAAGCTGCAATGAAACATCTGAACATGAGCTAAGATCATGATTTTAGTCCATCTTAGTGTATGAATGTATGATTATGACATATTAACTTGTGTTTTTTTGTTTTTTGTGTATTTTGGGGGGCCTTTTCCCCTTTATTAGATAGGACAGCTGAAGATAGACAAGAAAGGGAGAGAGAGGGGATGACATACTGCAAAGGGCCACAGGTCGGATTCGAACCAATGGCGGCTGCAGTAAGGACTCAGCCTTGGTACATGGTATCATAATGTTTGAGTTTAGAAATCACAGCCTTTAAAAATGAATTACATTCCTCTGTTTTATTATTTACAACCCCTGCAAAAGAAGACTATCATTCTGTAAATGTCAAACATTACACAATATTGATTAGAAAGAAAGAGACCAAAGTCAGCTTACAGTCCAAAGAGCTTTATTGAAACAAATAAATTAATAAATTAGTCAAGTGAGCTAATTTTATCCTCATCAGATACACATTTTTGTATCTCTTTAAAAGATCAAATAGAGGTGTACATTAGATTAGAAAATAAAATAAGCGCCATATTTCATCAACCAGTAGCTACATCAATTGGAATTGGAAGACTTTGTTGGCTTAACATTTTGCTTATTGCTTTGATCAGTTTGTGTTTTATTTTAACAACAGTTCCAATACCTAAGAGAGCAGTTAAAGGGCAACGAGCTGGAATGTCAAATGGCAGCAAGTCAGTGAACGATGGATAGTCGGGCGTCGTGAAGAAGAACAGAGTGAAAAAGAGAACGTGCAGATTGAGTCATGCATAGCATTCAGTCAGTTAGACAATCGGTTACTGTTTCTCATACTTGGTTTTCTAGACTAGCGCCCCCTAGTGGCCTCAGAGGTAGTTGTGTGGAAGCCATATTTCTCTATGTGACATGCTTATGGAAGGACACATGCCTGCAGAGTTTCCTGTGACGACACGAATGTCCATGCCTCCAGCCTCCAGATCTGACTGGTGTTACAGTAAGTGTGTTGATGCCAGGAGGTCCTGGTAGAGTTACAATGATATGCTAAACATACAGTAATATTCTCAGAAAATATCCAAGGTTGCAGCACCCTAAACCCTAAAATTACATGTTCAGAACAATTTTGGTGCTGTTTCTTTAGTTGGATCGAAGTTTTGCAAAAAAATTAAGAGCATGTGATACCCCTAATAGTGTTCTCTTCAAAGCAGCATTTAAGTTAGAGACAGATCCATATCAGATACAGAATGAGGACATAGAAGGCACAGGTCATTTCCTTTCATGTCTTGACTCAAGACTTTACAGGAGACATCCTTAAGATTTTTTTTTTTTTACTTCTAACACTGGGGCCACCACTAACAACAACATGCAATACAGTGGTCTCACGTACATTTTCATGGAGCTCAACATTCCAGGTGACAATGACGTGTTCAGTCTAATACTGCCTCTAATAAGTAGACTTCTTTAAGTAGACAAAGAATAAAGCGACCTAGCATTTCTCTATGAAATGAATGCAAAGATTGTATGATGCCGACAGCGAGCTTAGTTTTGCCATTTTATTCCCCATGGCAGCGAGAGCATCAGATCATTAATAGATCTAAGATAGAGTGAGCAATGAAGTACATTCACTGTTTGAAGTCTAGGCTTGGCTTGAATGGAAAAGTGGAGCACCTGAGTCAACTGGCTTGACTGGACCAAATAAATTAATCACTTGCAGGGAGAGACGAACTGTTTTCACTGGCCAAATACAGTTGAGTGAATGTTTTTTCTTGAAGCTGGCAGCAATCATCTGATGACATTAAAAAAATATACATATGAGCTCTGCGAGTTGTGAGTGCGAACCTGATCAGCTGTGTGTAGTTACAGTTGTGTCATCCATGATTCAACTTGACAAAAAATGCTACATTTATTCAAAGATTGTATCTAACTGAATTAAATATATTAACTTAAACCCTACAGTCACTTTAACAACCAAAATCATTCTAAAAAAAACATAGAAATTTGCCATTATAGGTTACACAATAAAAATTGAGTGCATGAACATTATTACAGTAAAGAAATTTAAACAAAAAGGTAAAATTGTACAAGACAAAAAAATGTGTTATATTTATCAAGTGCCAAAGTATTTAAGAAAAGGAATTGCTTTCATTGTGTATGTGTGTGTGTGTGTGTGTGTGTGTGTGTGTGTGTGTGTGTGTCCTTATGTGTGTGCATTTGTGCACTCTCCAGTTTTGTCCACAAGCACAGAGCATTTATTTACTGTGCATCAAACATGTCCAAGAAAGAACCAGAAAAGACAGCAGAGAGTAAAGTGGGCTGGCGATGATAGTCAGTAATAGCTACAGGTGGCGACTGGAGCCTCAACACTGCACACAGTCCGTCTGCAGTGGAGCTGTAAGGCTGGAACCATTTCCTAAGACGCGTGCATTCATAAGGATAATGGCCTGGAATTCATGTGTTAGACCTGGACGCCTTAAATGTTGTTCATTGTTTAAAACTGCATCAAACTGGCCAAAAAGTCTCTACATTGTTGTCCACAGTTGCTGACTGCAAGAGAGTGTGTGAGAGTGGTAAGAGAGTGAGAACTATCCTCCTGTAAGAAAGGCTGTGAAGTATTACGGACTGCCTGACCTGAGGCTAGACGCGAGTGATGAGGAACGGTGCAGAAAACGTGACATGTCTCAATTCTGACTGGGGATCAGTGAGGTTTTATCTACAGGATGGGTCTGAGGATCATGCATGTCTGGAGGGGTGGGCTGCAAGACAGAGAGGTTTAAAGGGCAAACACAAAGTTAGGTTACTGAAATACTCAAGGAGCTACGACAGCCTTTGAAACATTGCAAAGAAGGGATTTTGGACCGGTGAGAGGACATTTTGGCTCTAATAAATCCTAAATAAGTCGGAACATTCCTCACTTGAATGCCATCCAAACAGGGAATAAGTTGTTTGTGATTTTTTTTTTTGCAAGTGGGCTTGTTGGAGACAGGAAGTCTTAGAGAGGGAATGGAGATGAAAACAAACAACAATGTACAGTACACATCAGTCACTCCCAACACATTCTCCCAGCTCTTTTTGGGCATTTAAAGCAAGGATTTACATATTTAAAACTCCCTTGTTCGGGTGGGAAGGTGTAACGTGGAGGTTTGGTGCTTTGGCGAGATGGCTGTCAGCCCAGTCTGCCTGTCCAGGTCCGAGGGAATAGATTTTTCTGCGTTGACGGCTTCTTTAGTGCTTATTTTTTAGTCGTATGGTGGCGTGAAATCGGAAATGTGCAGGTGGGAGCCATTACATTCATCGCAGTATCCATAACTGCAATGCCATCTTAAGGTACTGGACAAATGACTGGCATGGCACTTGCAGCACTGACTGTGTCAACTGAGTCAGCAAACTCTCAGTCAGTTGATTCAAGCAGCCAAGAAAAAAAAAAGAAAAGAAATGATGATGATGGGGGAAAGACTTCTCCAAAGATCTATAAAAATCCAAAGTCTGATTATCTACAGTTGAAGCTTTAAAGTAGGCGTAGATAAATAGCATGAGGTGAGTGAGTGAAAGTGGTTCAGTAGTCAAGTCACAGTCGTCCATGTGTCCTCTCTCTTCATCTCCATCCTCATCTAGTGGGTTCAGAGGCGTGTGCGGTGAGTAGCTTTGGCCTTGTCAGGTGGAGCCATCTGGTGGCCTCTGTCTGTATCAGCTTTGGAAACACATTCACTTCAGGGAAAAGAGGTGAGGAGAGCAGATTTGAGATGGAGGGGTAAAAGTCATCCCAGACAGATATGAAATGAAGGGGAAAAAGAAGAGATTAAGGTCGGGCTGCTTGAAGTGAGGACTCAGCCGCAGGAAGACGTACTGTAAAGGGTTTGTGTCTGTGTTCGAACAGCCCCGGGACTGCTCAGCTCACTGTCATTCCAAGTTGCCGCTCTCAGACATGGAGATGTTGAGTGTGTTGGCAGAGGGGAAGAGGTCTCTTTGGTCCGTAGGGCTGTGGTAGTCAGATGTCAGGTCGGGGTCCAGGAGGGTGGACAGGGTAAAGTTGGATGAGCCTTTCTTTAGGCACTGGGAGTAAAAGCTGAGCAGGAGGTCCAGCTTGTTCTCTATAGACTGAACCTGAACAAACACAGAGACTGGAATGTGTCAAACCTGTCTAATGAGATAAAACTTTGTTTCTGTCCATGTTCTATGCTAACTCGGGTATATAGTAACACAAAACACATCATTTGTTAGCATTCAGAAACAATATATTGGCTGTCTCTTGGGAGCTGCAGAAAAGAAAAACTGCTGAAAGAAAAAACACTGAGTAAGTGGCACTGAACAGGTTCACACATGAACAGGCACTCAGCTCATTTCCTGCTTTTAGTTTATTGCACTTCCTGTGCTTTTTATGGTACCTTGTTTAGATCTACGAGACTGAATAAAAGCAGTCCACTGAAATTTGGCAAATGATCCAATGTTTACACAGAGAACACTACATACACGCTACATAAATCACAATATTCATTTCTTACCTGTTTCTCCACCTTGACTACACGTCCCATCATGCTTAGCTCATCCAGTGGGTCCAGTTCTGGTGGCGTCTTCTCTCCCTTCTCAGGGCGCGTCTTCTTATCGGGCTGCACAGCTCCTCGTCCAATTATCTGATCCACCCTTTTACACAAAAACAGCGGATTACAATAAATATGTACTTGTTATTAAATAAACATTACATATCTCAGAGCATAGTCTGAGTTGTTTTCTGGCCAAAAACTACTTAGCCACATGACTCCCAAATAAAACTTGTTGTTTTCACATTAGGTTTTTGTACAGATTTAACAACAGTGCTATGATATGTTGATTAGTGAGCTTTAAAGGTGCTGGTTGTTGGATGTTGTTACCTTTGGACAGGGCCTAGCTAGAGAGCTAGCAATTTCCCTATTTCCAGTCTTTATGCTAAGCTAAGCTAACAGGCTATTGGTTGTAGGTTCAAATTCATCATACAGATATATATAGATACATATATCTATATATATATATATATATATATAGATATATGTATATATATAGATACAGATATGAAAGTGGTGTTAATCTTTTCATCAAACTCTTGGCAAGAAAGTGAAAAAGTTTCCCAAAACGTCAAGTCTTCCTTTAACAAAGCTTATTAAGTTTCAAAGGCACACATAAAGTTAACTTAAACAATATTTTTAATTAAAAAAAAAACAAAAAAAAACAAAGGAACCCAAACACAAATTTAGAATTTTTTTAAATTATTTTATTTTTCCAACAATACAGTTTTCAAGCAACAGAGTAGTAGTGACTACATGTGTGCAACCTACCGCATCTGCAGGCTCTTGATACGGCCCAGCATATCCAGGTGTCCAGCAGAGTACTGCTCTATGACGTCCTTCACATCATACGGACGCAGCGTCTCCTTAAACTTCCTCTTGGCCACAAGGAACTTTAAGATCCTGCACAAATACACAAACACACCAGACTCACGGTTATCACTCCTCTGAGAACCTTTAAAGAGCCTCACACAGCGAATCCACACATATGGACGTACAATAAACCTTTGGAAAAATGCAGGGGCAGGACAGCTATCAAACGATGCAGGAGACCCTGAGAATAACAAGATTAATTGCAGTCAGAGTGACCTTATCATTCACAAACAGCCCCATAAAGAGAGCAGAGTCACTCCCCTACTAAACCATGTGGATATATTGTGATGATGACAACATCTCCCGGAGACATTTGCTTATCAGTACTTGCTGTTTCAGCAATTAGCAGAAACCCACAGATAGTAACGGGTAACACACACACACCTCTATCGGAGCTTTCCCCTGTTACCGCTCTTTTGTCAGTATGACAGCCACTGGTGGACCACAGCTGCTCCCACTCCAAGAGTACTCAGCTCATCATCACCACCCACATCCCAAATGAGGGGGAATCACACCGAGGAATGTTGACCCAGCACTACTGCACCCGGCGAAACACATCACTGACAACATCCTCCACCAGTGTCGGTCTGGTTGGACGTCATGCTGGAGGGAGTGGAGGATGTGCAAGAGATAAAGGGCAGGGAGCAGAGGAATGTTTAAGCGTGTGTGTGTGTGTGTGTGTGTGTGTGTGTGTGTGTGTGTGTTTGTTTGTGTGTGTGTGTTTGGCTTTCTGAGCTGGGTGGGTCATTCAATTCCGTTCTTATCACTTATGCGATAGGCAGCTCAGAGATGCTGGCTCCGCAGAAGGTCTGGAAACATCAAATGTAAGCAAGACAAAATATACACACTCAACTGTCATCTCACCCTGTGATGGATTGCACTACAAGTCAAGCTGGAAGAGACAGAGAGAGCGGGAGGGCAAGGAAGGAGGGATTTTCTTTTTTTTATGAGGGAATCCTATCTCACACAAGCAGACGACTAAGTCCACTGTAAGACTTCCACTTGCTTTCACAGGAGAAAGAAAAGAAATCACATCAAAGGTCTGGGAAATGGGAGATCAGAAACACTATTCTGAGAAGACGTCACACACACAAACACACGCACACACACATATCTATGTACACAACCACACACACACAAACAAAATCTAATCTAATGCCACAAATGCATAAGCTTACACACAGACTTACGTACACGCTAACACAACTACACACACATGGGCTAAGCAGGTGCAAATGAAATCTGAACTTGAGAAAGGGGTCAGTTTCTGAAATAACCACTACAACCTTTGTCGAGGTCTGCAGCGTTTGCATTTACGGCAGCCACATGCAGTGGAGAGGTTTTTGTAGTGACCAGCGCTGCAACACAGAAGAAGAGAAGGTGTGAAGGAAGGAGAAGAGGAGCAAGAGGAGGAGTGGCATTCTACAGCAGGTGGTGTAGCAGCCGTCAGCGCACTCTCCCTCCCTCATGCAGCACTCTGTTTCTTGATGACTCCTGCGTTTGTGGTATTTTTTGCAGGCGGTCTTTTCTTATTTTGCAGGTAGATGCAGATTTTTTTGCCAAGGTGGGTCTCAGGTGTGGGTAGAGAAGAAGAAAAGGTTGGGGGGGGGGTTTGATTCGGATCCTCCGAGGGTTTCTTTAAAATGCTGACTCTTTTTCTCGGCCGATGAAATGGCTTTCATAATACATGGTCAGGCTTGACTGTGGCCCCCACTTCCCCTGCAGAAAACTTCCAGCTACGGCGCAACAGTCACTGGCAGTGGTACAGTACAGCTGGCACTGCTCACTGAAAGATATTATACCTTCCTAATGTTAGGAAGTTGAGACGTAAAAACACAGCAATGATTGGAGGGACAGAAAGTGTCATCTGTGCCCCAAAATGCTTGCATAGCTAGTCCAAATATTTTTTTGCAATTCAGCAAAGGTGGATCCCTGATAGTCTCCAATGGCAAGGTTTTATCTGTGACTTAAAAATGACTGTTATGCTGACACAAATCGAAGGTGGGCCAACCAGGGGGAGCGACTGCAGGGGCAAGTCTGATTCTTTCACCAGATTAGACTGCCTACCTGCTAAAGTGAACGAAATCTAACACACAAGCTACAGTGTGTGTATTTAATCACTCCTACGGAGAAATACACTTCGTGCACATTATATGAGTTTTTAAAATATTACAGCTGAAACCCTCAAAAAACTGATGATGATGATGAAATGATTATAAATAGTTAGCATGTCCGAACTATTTCTTTAACAAAGTAAGGGCTTCATCCGAGATTGCAAACATGCAGAAATTTTGTGTTTTTGTGCAGTATTGGATTTGTGCATATGTAGAGTCACAGTAGAGAGCACAGAAAGATATCAGACCTTGTTTTCCCGTTCTCCTTCTCTCTTCTTCTACCTGTGCTCCCTCTACCTATCCCTTCATACATAAACAGAACACTGTACGCATTTATTCCAGCAGCCGGCACTGATAAAACCACATGCATCTCTCTAAAGTGAAGCCTCAGCACTAAGGCCTGCTGCACAATTTTGTGTTTCACAGACATCAATCATGAACCTCGCTAAGACGCTGCATGTGTGTGTGTGTGTGTGTGTGTGTGTGTGTGTGTGTGTGTGTGTAAAGCACCTGCTGTTTACACACCTGCACTATCTATAGGAACTCCCTCTTTTCCATTGTCTGAAGCACAGAGCAGCTGAGGTCAGAGCTATCTGCTGAGTCAAGTGCAAACCAGAAGAGAGGTCATATGATATAATATCAGTGGCATAACGATATCAAACAATAATATATCATACTGCCGGAAGACCGGAAAGTATCTACCTGCTGTATATCAACAAAGAAAAAACCTTCAATATAAATTAATCTAATATTGCAATAATTGTAACCATGATGGATCATTCAAAATAAAAGATTGTGACACAACCTCTACACGCAACAGAAGAATTGACTGTTTCAAGAGCATAATAGTTGAGAATATAACACAAATTTAGGGTTCATACAACACCGTCAGTGTCAATTTAAGCACTACAGCATTCATCAAGAATGAACCCTCAGACAAAAACAAATGAACATAATGAACTTATATCAAACCTACAAGAACTACAGCAAATAACAAAGAAATAAATGGGAAACAATGGTCTATTATAGCGAGGGAATCATACAGGAAGGTGTATAACTGATGCTTCAAAAACATTTATGGACTGTTTTGACTGCCCAATTTCAGCATCCCTAATAATGTTGCCCACAGTACAGCTTTTACTGATTTTCTGAGGCACGGTTTTTACAATATAGTGACAGAAGAGATACAGATAAGAAACCACCAGGATGTCCCACACACACACCGTTTATTTCCAGGCACGACTTTATTCAAGAGCTTCACAGAGTGCGTACGGAAGCACACAGTCCGTGAGGGAAACAGCAGCGACATCAGGGACCAGAAAGAGAGTCGTTGTAATCCGCTCTCATCAAACCTCTCTGGAGACCAGCCTGGCCCCAACACCAGATGTTTGCTAGCAGTTGTAGTTTTTTTCTGCCATCATCAGTGAAAAACTCTACGCAGTTACTCTACGAGTGTATGTGTGTGTGTGTGTCAGGGGGAGGGGAGGGGTTGCATTCAAGATATTGTTGGTAACCCTATGGGAAATCTACACATTCAAAAACAGGAGGTTGTGTATTTTTGCATTTTACACATCATGATTAATTACTAATTATTATAATTGTGGTATAAAGTTGCCAAAAGAGCATTTCGTCACACACACAGTGTTTTTGCTTTTCTTCATGACTCTAAGCTGAGGACGGCCTATTAGTTCAAAGTGTCTGAGCACATACCGTGTAAGAACATCCACCTCTGATGAACTACAGTACATACAGTTACATCAAAGCTTATAGACGATGAATTACAGGAAGAGATGACACAGTGACAGCAATTGTCAAATCAATTGTTATTACAGTTGTCCTTGTCTACACTGAACAATATCGTTTGTCTCTGTACAGTCGTAATATACTGTGATCCTGTGTGTGTGTGTGTGTGTGTGTGTGTGTCTGTGAATGTACTCTCTAATAGGCCACCCTATCAAGCCATCTTACACATGACCGACCTGAGTGAGCTGGGCTTCCTGAGCGACAAGGTCAAACGAGGGAACTAACCCTGCCTGCAGGAGGGCTCAGTTACCTCTCCTACGTGGACATTTCTACTCTGTCAGCTGAATCGGCACACGGCTGCGCCTAAATGGAGGAGCAGCATGTTCGCCCATCAATGCGGGCTATAAAATACCACAAGAAGAGCCCATGGTCCGACCACACATGCACAGGTTGTATATCTGAGCAAAGTGACCTTATTCTATCAATGACAATGACCTGGTTTTCAGAAAAGACCATCTAACCTGTTTACGGAGATGTAGTTTAATTCCAAAGGGCTTATTGAACAATGCATATAGGACTTTATATTATTAATTATTTTTTATGTTATATGTAAAATGTTTTATTCATTGGGTTTCAGCTTTTTTTCGCTTTTGTCATTTAAAATGTCTCTTATTTCACATTCACTAATACAATAGAGGGACATCTCTGCTGTTTTGTAGAGGCTCATAATAAAAAACCCTGTATGATCAGTTGGAAAAATATCAAGAGTTTTTTGTTACTAAGGAAGAAATGCAAAAAAAAGATGCCATTGCTTTTTACTGGAAATAACCTTTACAAGGTTGAAGAAGGACCTGATTACGTATAGAATGGCCTTATTACAATTAAAACAATTTCCACTGTAGGTACAACTAACATACTGTTGATGGCAAGACTCACCTGACAGCCCGTATGAGTGTCTTCACTGCTGGGATTACCTCCTCCATGGCCACGTCACAATATGGTTTGTCTTCCACACTGTCCTCCCCGACCCCCTCCACTGAGCCAAGACGGAGGTAGAGACTTTATTATGCAGAAATTAACCTTGTGAGTGTGAATGGACATGTTTGTTTGGACATGTGTGTGTTGCCTACCATCAGCAGGTGGGCGTGGTTTAAGGCGAAGGGATGTGCGGAAGCGTGTGCGGTCATTAAAGCTCCAGCTCTTCTGGACCTTCCCCGGGCTGGTGGCCTCGGCGACGTTCTCCTGGCTGGGAGAGCGCCGGACGCTGGAGCCCGGGGGCAGTGGTGACGCCTTGTTCCGAATGGTTTGGGATGATCTGGAATTGTTCATCCTAATCCGATCCCGGAAGCCCATTTTACTGCTGACAGTGAAGATATAATATTCAAACATCTAAAGACACAATGTTCTTTCCGGATCATGATAGGCACTTGGCTTTTCTCAATCACAATGTCCATGCCTTTGACCTTAATGGGAAACTAAGCTGTGTTATCCTGGGAGTTTAGGGAAGCAGCAGAAGCCTGAGCTCGTTAGAAAAGAGTTTGTTAGTAATAGTGAATTAACACAAAAAAATATGGCCCCTGCCTTTTATAACAATCACCAACAAACAGACAAAACAGTAACACAAACAGCAAAGGACAGACTAGCTGACTTATCGTGGAAGCAGTTTGACCACAGGGACCACTCAATATTGCTAGAAACTGATTCTGCCTTGAGGATTTGCTTATTTAATGTGCCTATCATAGCACCTGATTCAGCAAAATCAGACTGAAACCTGATTCAAGACCTGCAGTAGTGCTGGGACGGCGGAAAATGTTCCAACCACCATCAGAATAAAGACACGCTTCCTTAATCCGTTCAACAGAGTGAGTAAGCATCAAAATATCGGCTTCAAAGCGCAACTGTACAATAAGGTGTCTCATTAAGTACTCTCTATACCACTCACCAAAACCCGCGGCAGGCCGGTATGTGAGGTCATCTATTTACAGGAAAGCTATTTCTCCATTCTGTCCAACAGATTGACTCATAACGCTGCTGTTATGGCATGCTCTTGAGACTACTCCTTCACTGTAGCCACTTACAACACTGTTACGGATCCATAAGGCAATGCAAACATCATGCACCACAGAGCAATTCCTGCCCAGTATTTCACTCCCACATTTTTACGATGATATACTCTTTGTTGTGCGTGTGTTATGGACGGCCATTTAAATTAAAATTTAAATAGTTAAGGGATGTTAGTGGACACAGCATTTCTTACAAGCAAGCTGAAATGCTTCAGGTAGACTGGAGAAAATGGGGAAGATAGAGTGAAGGACCTTTGCATGCTGTTGGGAGCGGAAGTAAATGATTTGGATGCATTCAGGACCGTAAACTTCACTGAATCTTTCCAAAACATATTGCATGCAAACCAAGACATTTTAGCACTTAAAAACCTTTTAAAAATACAGCACAAACATACTGATTTTGTACAAAGGTCATATGACTAATGTGAAGTAGGAAAGCATGCTGAATCATTTAAACCTTCTCTCCAAGAAGACACTATAAATGAGGCAAGCAACTGAATTGAAAACATAAAGCAAGTCAAGAGCGGGGTGATTCTTTTGACTTCAGCAACAATTTTGGGGGAAAAAATTATTTTCCTCATTTCATCAGCGACATTTGATGAAACATTGGCTAAAAAGAAACATTGTCACACAGTCACAGTCAGAGAAACCATCAAGGACTTCTGTTGTGTTTTCAACGCATGGTGTATAATGACTTTCAAGCCAAACCAAGAAAAATCAGCCTTAGTTTCTCCAGCTGGAGAAAAATCCTTTCAGGAAAGAGTAGCATAGCATTTCTTCACAGTAAAGGATTCACTCAAGCATTTGTGGACCAGAGTATAGTGTCTGTTTAAGGTATTTGATTGGTAAGAGCAGGATATGGTTGAAAATAAGGCAAATATCATGGCATTTGCTTCTAATTTTGTTAATTCTTTAATAAATTCACAAACTGCAAATAGTTTGATGCTTTAACAGAAACAAAACATTTAGCAAAGCAACTGCATCAGTCCACAAATCTTTAAGTGTTTCAGGCAAGGTGAGCAGGTTTTGCGTGTTAAAGGAGGAGTAGGAGTGGTGTTATTGATTTGATGACATTTTAGCGTGTCCCGTGCACAGGCTTGTTGCCGTGGATACCTCTGCTTGCGGCCAGCGTGAATCCGGAAGAGACCCCGTTTTTTAGAAAGGAGCTGACTGGGGAGACACACAAGGCAGAGGGAGAGAGGGTGAGGGGAAGAGAGGAGTGGAAGAAGGGACAGGGAGGGAGGTGAAGGAGGACGAGGAGTCCTGGGACAAAACCTGGGTACAGGGTGAACCCATGAGGACAAAACGTAGCAAAGGAACAACCAGGGAGAGAGGGTGAGGTGGAGGGGTGAGGTGTGACGTCTCTATAGTCCAAATTGCCCTTTACTTTCCTGATCTTGTTCTCTTACCTAAACCTGGAAAATACACTTCTGAGAGGCATTATTTTGAATATAGAGACACGGAGTGAAGTGAGGAGGTGGGATTGAAGGATCATGCAGAGGTAGTAGGTGTCACCTGAGTATATTCATCAAGACAGCCCATTAAACGTCATGGTGTGACAGCCGCTCCTCAAATCGAAGACAATTCTACCAGCAAAACTTGTGTTATTAAGGTACATTAACGTGCTTCTCTCGTCAATGCATGCATTACGTCCGTTAGTCCCTTCATAACCTTGGCTTTTGTTTAAGGATTTATGCTAAAGAAGTTATGAATCTAATGCAGCAATGAATGCCCTATGAATACCCTTTAATCAACAAGCACAGCTCTGGACTTGAAGAACAAACCTGCATGGAACTTCAGCCTTCCTGAGAACAGATGAAGGATGGAGGATGGACGGCATGGAAAAGATGCGATGGGAATAAAGGGGAAAGAAAGAGGAAGACAGGAAGAGGCAACCAGTGAGTGAACAGCGGGAGGCGGTGGAGATGGCAAAGAGTATGAGCTAAGCAGACAAAGATGCAGAGAAGCAGGGGGGCCTGCAACACAGTGGTCTCAGATCAGCGTTAGTGAAACATTGTTAGATACACGACACATCCATGCAGAAAACTCCAGAAGGAGTCAACCTTGATTTTCTTTGTACACCTGTTGAATGCATTGGTCTGTAAGTCCTTGTTGTTACTGTTTTCATTGTGTGACTGTGCATGAGTGTAAGTAGACTTTCGGCCACCTGTCTGGGTGTACTGTGAGGCTGTGTGAGGTGCCGGGGTGCGTACCTGTCCCCCGACAGGTAGGGGGAGCTGTAGGGCCGGAGCCCAGACAGCAGCGTGTGGTAGGAGTTGTGGAGAACCTTCTTGGTGTTACGCTGTCGCTGGAGGTGACTGAACAGTAGCGTCAGTTCTCTGACACCCCACGTGCACAAATAAACACAAAAAAAAAAAAAAACATGACAAATGAACAAAAAAACAACAAAATATGAAAAACTCACAAAAAGGCCAAATCAATGGTCCAAACGCTCAAAAGAAGAGGGATACTTGAGAGGAATAAGATGATAGATGAAATTTAAATTTAGGTTTTTCATAGTGAAAGTTTTGATGTTAAGGTAAGAGAGATGTTTCTATTTGTGTTTCTCACGTTCCCCTCCTTTTAAGCAAATAATAATTAGTCAAATTAATACATAAATGCAAAATATAAGAAACCACTGCGTATAACAAAAATAATTTAAACGTAATTCAATAGTGGTGGCAGAAGAAAACGAAAGGGCTAAATATGAACAGGAACATCATTCCTTTTTACTTGAGCCACCACTGCATATAACTGATTGGCAAAAAGGTTTCATTTGCAATATATGCTGTGTTTTCTCATAACAATATGAATGTACGAGCAGTAAAGGATCACTATTTATTGTGCACAATTCACTGTTTTGTGATGCAACTCTCAAATCTCTGTCTGCACTTATTACATCACTTCAAACAAAGGACCAAAGACAACCACAGATTTCTGATGGTTGAATCCATTCAGAGCTGATAATGGAGACTGATGGTAGCACCTACCTGAACGAAGGCAACATGCTGTCATAGAAGTACCAAGTGGCTGTTAGATATGAGTGTTTGGCATCTGTAGAGTAGAGACGCCATGCAGCCTAAAGAAAAACACAAATGCACAACACAGAAACACACAGCGACAGTTAACGTAACATACTGTACCTTGAGTGTGAATTCATTAAACATCAGATTAAAACACTGAGGCCAATACCTGTATCAGGTTGGCAGCAGGCATCCTCCTCTTCTCAAAGTGCTTCTGCCGGTGCTGCTCTTGCACCTTCAAGGCAAAGCCTGACCCCAGGATTCCCTGAGGGTCAGAGGTCAAATCAAAGTCATGAGAAGAGCCACTAACATGTTTGTGAGTGAATATACGTTGATGTGAATAAACTTACGGCAGGCAGGGCAAAGAAGGAGACTCCCAGAAGAGCAAAGCCAGCAGCAAGGAGCCGCCCCTGCCAGGTACGAGGTGTCTTATCACCATAGCCAATAGTGGTTAGAGTAATCTGGGTAGGTGAAAATGTAAGATTTCACAATATGATAACAAAATGCAAACTGTACTGGGATGACACACTGTATTCGTCTCTATGGTTGTTTCCAAACACAGAATTCACAGAAAATACAACCTATAAAATATTTTGTATGAAACTACAACTGATTTACGCCTGTCATTTGCGTCATATTTTTTTAAATCATATAACTGCAAATGAGCATTAGCTGATGTCCTTGACTGTGACTCCTGGACGATTCTGACATCAATCTGAAGTTTATACAACAAAAAAGTCATTTTATGGTTTCAATGCTGCTCAGAAACCTTGAAGGGTTGCCCCGGTAGCCTAATGGTGCCTTTTTTGTTGCCTGTTTCTCCCAACATTTCCCATCTGTATATTTATCACAGTCAAACAAGGTAAAAAGAAAACATCTTAAAATCTTATATCACTGCTGATATCTGTGTGCATTCACAATGGATGAAGTAAAGCTTGAAAACAAGACTGACTTCTCTACTGTTGACACATGGCAGAATTTGAAATAAATGTAGTTGTCAAGAGCTATAATATACTTGTGATCTACATTATTATTATATGGTTGCACTGTTCCCAGAGGCCTTACACTTAATATATGCCTCTTTATGTTTGTATTGCCTGTGGTTCCTTGTCTGTCTCTTCAGCCACAGAGATCCTGTGTGCATGATTTAGTACTCACAGTCCCCCACCAGAGGGAGTCTGCATAGGTGTTGAAGTCTGAGTTGATGTCTTTCTCTGCCAGGTAGACGAGGAAGGAGGCAAAGATCAGGACCAGGAAACCTATGTACCAGGCTGTAATCAACTCCTGAGAGAGAGAGAGAGAGAGAGAGAGAGAGAGAGAGAGAGAGAGAGAGAGAGAGAGAGAGAGAGAGAGAGAGAGGAGGTATCACACCTGTCAGCAGCAGCAACAGCATCTTTACGTTCATAATCCCTGCTGTCATTACCGTATCACTATCATCATTATTGGCTAAATTCTCATCATCATCATCATCATCATCATCATCACATTTGGCTTCTACTTTGACTTGGCTGCACGGTTCTGCTAAGACAGCTGATGCATCAGTTCATCACCAACGTCTAACTATGTTGTGCAGCCGACCGGTGGGTGTCAGGTGTTTAGGTCAGCACAAAAACTAACACCTAATTGCCAGAAATGAGCAGCTAAAGGGGAGTTTGGTGTTTCAGGGCAGTGAATGTAATCAAGTAACAGCTGGTCATCAGTAGACTCACCACATATTCCTCAACACAGAGTTATTATGTTATTTATCCCATTAGTAACCATCATCGCTAGCCTTTTAATAACTCTCCCCAGCCCTCAACCTTCTTCCTGCTCTTATAATAATCCATAATACTGTGTTCATGGCATGCATTAGTATACTTTTAATTATCAATGTCTGCACAACAAACCTATAAATGTAGCCCATTCTCAAATAAGAAAACAGAGAAAGTGTGTTTCTGTAGTAGAGCGTGTGTGTAAAAAGACTATTGTTACCTTGCTGTGAGCGTAAACCACTGAGCCCAGTAGTTTCCAGGTGCCTCCCCGTCTGTCCATTCGCACCATACGCAAGATCTGCAGAAAGCGCATGCTGCGCAGGGCTGACGTGGCGAAGATGTTGCCCTGTGTGCCTGCTGCTATCACTGCCAATGACGCCACAAATACTATGAAGTCTACGGAGAAGACGTTCAGGAACGAAACATAGAGAGAAGAGTCATTATGAAGTGATAAAATTACACAGTTTTCTCATGAGCACACACAACGCTTTGACGTGTGTTTGCGTACTATTCGCACACTCACACTAACCTATGACACAAAAGGGCTTCCTGGCAAATCTCAGCCGTCCCTGCCATCCACGGTATCTGCAGCAACAGCCAGCCGCCCAGATCCTGATGAAGTACTCCAACCCAAACACCACAATCATCACAAACTCCTACACTCACACACACACACACACACACACACACACACACACACACACACACACACACACACACACACACACACACACAGGTCAATGACACACACCAGTCAGTGTTTGAAAGATTACCGTAAGATAACAGTTGAGTGGGACAGTCCGGCATTTCATAGTTTTTCCATTAAATCATTAAATTCAGCTGTTTTGTAGAAGGAGAAGTGTCCCCAAAACAAAACATCTAAGTTACTGGTTTTATTGAAAGCATCATATTGGTGTTTATGGATATCTATTTAGAACTTACAAGACCTAATTTAAAAGCTACATTTAAATTGTTCTCATTCTATATCAGCTTAGCATCAGTGTTGAATGGGAGAGAGGACAGTACGCTATGATATGCTCAACAACAAGGTGTGTTAAACTGTGGGTGAAGTGAATGTCCATATGGCAGCTTAAAATGCACACAGTATATCTTGTGTGATGGACATTGAAGTTTGGAAATCAATTCACCTCCCCACACTGCAGAAACACTGTAACTGCAAATTATTTACATGATTTACATACTTTATTGCTCTATTTAATAAACCTTTGTATCAACATCATATAAATGGGCTTAGCTGCTAAAATAAAGGCTGAAACAAAACAAGAACTGTTAAATGTATTTGCTTTCTATTCTTTATTCAATTTGAAATACCATGTCAGTCTCAGCCTATTAACACGCCACTCTGTCAGTTTATCCTCTTTGTCTGTCTTGCTTTCAGGTTTCTAGACTGTACGGGCAGTTTAAGGTGCAACGAACCAATCTGTCATTAGAGCGAATGTTCGTGTAAGTAAAGTCCACTAATGGCTGATTGCCTGCTAATGGCCGGGTGATTGATCGAAAGAGTGAACACGTAAAGCTGAGCAAGGTGGGAAGAGAGTGGGTAGGAGGAGGTGGAGAGAGGACGCGTCAGGATCAGAAGGAGAAAGCGAGTGTCCATTACCTTTCACTAAAGCAGCTGGAGCACAGAGAAAGAGGAGCGATTATGGGATAGCTATTAGGATTAGTGGATCATGTCTGTGATTTCCTGCAAAGTCAACAACACCTGAATCCTCCCACCTGCTTACATAGCTGTCTGCGCCTCTACCGGCAAACAAAGCAACGCGTACAGTAAGTGAGATGGTATATAATAACAGACAGTATATGAAAATGGATGCTGAAGTAGTCATACGTGTGTGAGGGGGTCTTACCAGGATGAAGAGGCCTTGGTTGGCAAACTTCTGGTGGTCAGGGATAGTGGAGAACACAGACAACACCAAGCAGCTGAACACCAGCAGAAAACTGAAACACATAATCACACACAGGCAGAGGTGTCAAAAGTACACACATTCTTTACAGATACTACTGTAAAAAAGGACTCTGGTGAAAGTAGAAGTACTGATTCAGCTTCTTTAAAAGTGAAAAACTACAGGCTCTGAAATGTACTCAAAGTATAAAAGTAAAAAAGTACTCTCTTGGTTTCTCTGAAGGACATTTCTACTGGATGTTTCTGTGCAACTGAAACTAACTGTCGTGTCTCCCTCTCGTCTTTTACTTCTACTTCCAGCTTTGAAAAAATAAATAAATGATAATCCCCCTCCAATTCATTAAAACTAAAGTAATAAGCCTGTTTTGAAAAAGTAAAAAGAAAATACATATATTTGTTTGTAGGGGGAAAAGTTGAAAGGTTGTCAGAAAAATAAATTAATGGGCTATATAAAACTCACTAAAATCTGCTTTGTTCACTCTCTGTGTGATTAACCAACAGGGAAAGTAGCAAATAAGCAGGAAAAGATTTGTTGATCCATACCATAATACAAGCACAGCATGCCGAGTCATATATGGCCAGTGGCACAAGACTCAATAATCAAGTTTATCAGTGAAGTATATAAGAAAGAACAGTAATAACATACAAAGGTTATTATTTGAATTTTATTTGAATCTGAACTTGAGTGCTGTAAAACTTATTCAAATGATCTGAATACCCATAGACTGGATGATAGGCAGCATGTTACAGTGCTGCAGCGTGTCTGTTCAAATTCACAGTAGAAGCGTGCAGTGTAAGATGACTGGTATTACTGCTCTTCTTTCAAAGGAGGACTGGGATCGTGCAGCTCTTGCTGGGACAAAAATCACTGTCCCACAGAAGTAATGGCCACTTCAGTTTGAGAACTACTCCAGAATAAAACACAACATAAATTCCAGTAAATTGTGTCTCATGTTCGAGGTGCTCTCATGTTAGTATAAACACTTTATCTCTACCACAACACTGTAGAAGGGAAATGTCTCCACCAGACAATCTGCATCCTTGTTCAAGAGCAGACAGACAAGAACGTAATGAAAACATGAAAAGTATTTGTCCAGCACCTCTTTAAATTGCCAAAACTGTTATCACACATTCATAGTACAATTCTCACATACAGCTATAACATCCATGTGAATTTCTCTTGAATGAAAGATGTGACAGTTCCATTGTGGTCAAATCTTTTTGGAACAGGTTACAACAACTAACTATTTGTCATATATAGCAAGTACCCCTTCCTGTTCAAAAATGCCCCTCACTAATGATGATGCATTGACTTTAACTTCAAAGTAAAAACATTTATGTTTGAAATGGTGTGCTGCGGAAAAGAAAAATGTTGGCACTTATGTGGCAACGGCCACACTGTGTCCCACTTAACCAGTGGAAAAAAAGTTATTGTTAGATGTTGTTTCAGTGGAACTGTCGACAGAAAGATTAAAAGGATCTACAAGGTAGCAGAGAGGTGGAATGTGATTTCAGATAAAGATAGGAAATACGGCTCATTTTCAATCATGATATCATCTGTTTTATTCAGTGTTATATTGTATAATTTGTTCAAATTCTAGCTGGTAATCACAATGGCTGACAAGGCAATGAGAACCCTAAGGGATCCCTAACAATATACTGTTTGTGTTGGTCGTCCCCAAAATGTTTGAAACAAATAAGAGCTGAGAGAGAGACAGAAGTGAGAACAAACACCAGCGCTGCCTGCCCTCTGTGCCATGTGAATAGCGAACAGCAAGGCAGGATTAGCCAGGTGGCAGCTGCTGTTCCAGCTGGTCTAGATGTCAGAGCCCAAAGTTAGAGAACACTTGTTGGACGCTAAACCAATTCTCATGGTCTCACACAATGGTGCCCTTTCTCTTCAATTAGTAATGCGATCAACAAGTCTCCCACCAGGCTAAATGTGTGTGAAATGAAATGCATTCAGAGCACACACATTAAAAAACTGTTTTACAAAGTGAGTGCAGGTCAAAACTAGGAAGAGAAACTTGCAACTCACAAAAAAATACATTTAGCAGAAGAGGAAATTATGTCCCATTTCCTCTCAAGACTAAAACCCTCAAAGTGTAATCGGTTGCAACAGCCTCAGATCAGAAATGATAGAGGGAAACTGGAAGAAAGGATAAGAGAGATGTCTGAGATTTTGTCAGGCACCCGCTTGACAAAATTATGACATTAATTTGTCTGTAAGAACCAACACATTTTCAGGGAAGACTTTTCTGCTGTGACAAGATTGTGGAAAAGCTCCATAAATTTGAAAAAATATCAATTATGATTTGTTTAAAAACATCATGTTCACACATCCAAATGGGAGCAGCCAAATTGGTGTGATTCAAATCTTTAGTAAAATGAATGTAACAATTACCAGGAAGCCACAATGGGCCAACTACACATAAGCAGATGGTTGCATAATAGATACAGTATCTTCTGATACTTGAAGTGGTAGCAGAAGGAATGCAAACTTGGAACAAATCCAACCTAAACAAAATTTTAAGAAAAGATTATTGTAACAATATCCACTTTTTGTAGTGTTACTTAACTACCCGTTGAAAACCACGTGAAATAAACACATAGAAAGATGATGATGGTGTTGATGAGAGGGTACTTATACAATCAAAACAGACATTCTGTAATGTAAGTGTAATGTGAAAAGCCTCCGTTATGTCGTTTCTTTTCTTACATTGCGTAAAAAAAAAACAGTTTTGTCATCACATGTGCGAGGAGTCAATGAATGAACAAATGTTTTTGTTCCGTCTGCCTGCCCAGCCGCACTTTCCAGATGGTCAGACGCTACAAATAGAAAAGACAAAGTAGATCTTAGACAGCTAGAAAGACACCGGACACCAAGCGTGAATAAACAGACACCCCCAAATTACTATTGTATATTTCTCAGCCCAGTGATGCATGCACGGGGAAGAGTTTGTGCTTCAGCCACAGCAGTTAGTTTATGAAAAAAAACATACCCAGATGACTCTCTGCAAACAATGCATTTTGGATGTTAATCAACTGAGTAATGTGCTGACTAAACTGTCTGTCTTTTTCCCCTCAATTAACTCAAAGCACTGTGTATTTCCACGAGGAGGAGATTAGTTGGGGCAGCATCTCAGGTGGTTTCTTTCATCGACTTGTGCTTTATGACAGGAAACAAGTTACAGCGCAGATACCCGGATCGACAGCTTGGCTTTTACAAAATGCAGACGCGACATTCCCTTACAAATAAGTTATGAAAGCAACTCTGCATTTACCTGAATACAATACTATCCCTTACATATAGTAATTCCAAAACAATGCAATGAGTTACTGCCAACACAGCTCACCATATCTGTTTATGCAGCCAGTTTGTGTAATCACAATGTAGAGTTCTGCTGGGTGTCGCGTAACAAACCCCTCAAACCTCGTCTCATTCAGACCACAAGCCACAGGCAGGCCTCAAATCACAACATCTGCCAAACTCACATATGGCTGCAAAATACCACTTACTAGTTAAAGTCCTCCAATCAAGTAAATGTCGGTGTCCTGCGGTGTTTAAAGAACAAGTGACACTGAGCGTACACCAAAGATGATTTATGATGATAATATGGTATTTTGTAGCACTGAAGGAATAGGGATGTTTTATATTTTTATTGTTGTTACTTGTCAAAAGTCCGATCAGAACCAGAGGTCTTTCTCTGAACACTTTAAAGCCTCTCTGCCTGGAAGGACATAAATCTTTAGAAATGTGTCACAAATACATTGTTTCACTTCGATTAGCCGTGCTAGCGAGGTGGCTTTATGGATGATGTTAGTCCGTCGTCTACTACTTTGGTGCAGACTGAAATATCTCAAGAACTATTGAATGGAACTTAGAAGAGACATTCATGGTCCTCAGAGGCTGAATCCTACTGACTTTGGTGATCCCCTATTCAATACATTTTCCATTAAATTTAGCGCCTATCTAGCGCCATCACCAATCCAATTCATTGTTGGTTTTGGGCACCAGACATCCTGTAATGAGGGATGCATCTCAAGACTTTATAGCCACTATCAAAAAAGATATGAGCTAATAGTAATTCCTGTTTTAAACAGTCATCTGTAGTGACTTCTACATAATTTATGAATGGAAATCCACAAATGTTGTCTTCTCTGATCACCTTGTCTTAAGTGTCATATACTGGATCGAGTTAAGTGACCTGGGAACGCACGCTAAGACGACGCCTCTGCTCGTATCTACTTTGTTGTCCCCAATGAATAAACAAATATATAAGTAAACAAATACATTAATAAATAACTACATTAATAAATTAAACAGATGAGGAGACTTTTAGGCCATGTAGAGAGGGAGTCACATTTCTGCTGAGGGCACACTTTTCCCACCACTGCCCGCCATCCACCCCAGTACCACCATCCCTCCCTCTTTTCAGGGAAATGTCAATTAAAAGCAAAGCATCAGTCGAAATCTACCAAATCAGCAGGGTTGGTCTCACAGGGACATTGGGGGAAAAGACCTGCTCAGCCCTGAGTGCTTTACTGACGTGCCTCAACAAAATATCTTCATATTAAAGTATTTCAAAAAAGACATCTGGAAAGGGTTCCCAGTTTAGGATTTAGAGAATAGCAGAATAAATATTGCTCTCATGGCCAAGACAATAAAATAAATCAATATCTGTTTAGAGGTAAAGATCACAATGGGTTCTCTCTGTATATTCAATCTGCTACAACTGGAAATGTGACCTAAGCAGGGGGTGAAGGCAGGATAAAGTGGAATAAAAGCCCGACTCATTCTACGCATTAAAAATTAGCATGTTAATATATAGACGCACCACAAATAAAAAATACCATCATGTTATGATGAATAAAATAATTTATGATAGTCAGCCGCTCAGGAGGTTTACTGTAAGGCTGTCTGCATTAGTAATTGCTCCAGAACTTCTAGAAAGAATAATGCATGCTCTGCTATATACACAGAATATCCGACTTTTCTCCAAAAGCCAACCGCGTGCAATTTGTCTCATGGACA